AAAATCAAGGAGAGTCTTTGTCCTCTCAGCCGGCGCTGCCCCTCTGTTGGCCTGCAGGAATGGCGGGGGGGGGGCATCAAACGCCTCGATGTCTCCATGAGGTCCGATCCCGCCTAGCAGCATTTGCCATCCCGAGCTGCCGTCATCTCTCAGCAAACGTTGTCATCATCCACCCTTATTTTCGAGGTTTGAAGCTTCTTGTTCGGTTAGAGGGGCCTATACGTTCTTATTCGGGAACTATTGGCAGAATCCCGCAACTAGGTTGTTGGGGTCCTTGCGTCAAGGTCGACTATGAAGGCTATTTCTGCATATTCATGGATGCCGCTCGCCCATCATCTGAGCTTACGGAACCTCCCAGGACAGATTTCATGTCGCAGTAGAGCTGCTACCAGACCCTCTTCGCCGCCTCCTGTCGTTCTCGCGGCTTCACGAAGTCGGGAATTGTGTAGCAGCGATTCTAGGCAATTCTGGGATCGCGATGTGCCTCTGTCGACCTCAGCAGTAAATCCGTGACTAGGAAAGCTTAGAAGACTTGCTTGAAAGCCTGAGCGATCGACCTCGAACCATTAGTCTCTCACGCTTCATCTTCTCGCCACCAGTAAGTGAAGTGGTGACAACGAGGTTCAATGGAGACACGAAAAAGCACCAGGAAGAGTAAGTGAGTGCTTGCAGTCAGCTGCGAGACTTTGAAGTGAAGAGGATATTCCTTGATCTCTTGTTCCAATCCGTTATCATACACTCATGCCAACTCATAGCCACAGCCAGTATCCAGCCAGTATACTCTCAGAGCTAATTATCTCACTCCATGTCCCTTCTTTCTGTCTTGTACCCTTATCAACACGCCATATCGTACACAGTAAAGGTTTTCTGTTCTTTCTAGAACGATGGCCATATCATCCCCTTGTTCAACAGCTGGTTTCTAACATCCAATAAAACGTCCTTAGTCAAAAGTAGACGCATCCAACAACCAAATTCCGTCTCAGCGGTAGCCGGCTCGATCGAGACCGTATTTGAGAAGGTTGATCTGCTCAATAACGGTGTAGGCTACGGGATTCGTCATCATTTATCATCTGTCCGGCTTGTAGTGTCCGTCGTGTCCGATGGCTTTGAAGGATACTCATCAAGCAGCTCTTTCTTCAAGCCTCGTTGCACCTTGAGTTGGGTCAATCCATCCAGTCTTCTCTTCTTCATCGGTCCCATGCTTCTATGAAGAGTTTTGACATGGTCCTCAACGTTTTCGGCGTAACCATAAGGGGTATGTTGTCGATCAATGAGCCGGCTGTCTGTACCGGATGCGCTAGTCACACTTGTGTCGTTAGAACTGCTAGCAATATTGACGTTATGCTTGCGCATAACTGACTGCGATTCAACATTTCTTGGTCGAGAAACTCCTGTTGGATCTTGCCATTCGGTTGTTTGACGCTTGCTCGTTGCTGTCTCGGGCTCGAATCGTTTGTCCCGTACGCGTTTTTTCTCTGGCCCGTCTTCCTGGATTGACTTTGGGCTACAAAAGGAAGATACTCTTCGTTTATGGCTACGGTCAGGCCATCCATTGGAAGATCGGAGTTCCTCAATAAGCTGTTTCTCGGACAGAGGTGAGTTTCTTCCCGGCTGAACTTGTGCTTTGCCTTTGCGAATAGGTGCCCAGGGGCCATCGGGTTGCGGAACAGGGCCTCGCAGCTCTCCAGCTTGACGATGGCGACCATACAATTCGTGTTTAGAGGGCGGGCAGTAGTCGCCAGTCGGAATATGATTGCTTTCCTTCGGATCATTCAGTAACTGAGATGGAATTGAACCACGGTAGCCACTGCCATTGCCTAAGCCTGTATCAGTCCAATTCATGAATTTGATTCTTCAACTGAGCCACCCAAGCCGCACGGGACAAGAGAACACTACTTCGACTCAAAGAGTATACCGAAATATGCAAACGATATGCCGAGAGACTTACCGCGAGAGTGATGTGCAGCAGATGCTGCTGCAATGCCGCGATCGAGGGCAGTAGCTCTATGGGGGATAGGGAGCGTTCGACTTCGACGTCTGCCCATCCTTAATCCATTCCTGGCATCCTTCTCAACAGGAGAGGAGGGCATGCTTCCTGTCTCTGCCGAATATTTTGCGTTTGCGAATTTGGTAACGGGATATTGCTCTTCGTACAGGGGGCCAGGTAAAGTCTTGATGGGTATCAAGCCCAAGGTGCTGGGGTCCACTCTACGCTGATTTAACACCTTTGGCTTCTGATCTGATGTTGTGGCTCTCCATGAGCCTGGAGTGACCTGAGGGGACGTATTTGACGGCGATGTGGCTGGTAGCACAGTGTTGTCCCTCACTCCTGATACCGCGTTTGGCGGGATTTTGCGTATGCCGTGCTCTTTGTATATGCCCAAGTCTTTTGCAACATCCTTATTGGAAGTGAAAGATCGTGAAGACTCAGCTGAAGCAAGTCTTTCGCTTAGCTCGAGCCCAGCTGTTATTTTCGATGGGGTGTCCTTTTTCAAAGCGTTCTAGGTTTTGGAAGCGCGGGCATCCTGACGGGGGGTTTGAGAACCTGGTACGCAGACCTGCTTCGGCACCGCTTCAACGCGGATGGAAGGCTTGGCTGCTCTGATCGCCATATTGAACACCAGGTTGAAGCCACTGGCGCTACGAGATGTCCTCGCAGTTGTCAATTTCTTCTCCTGTGTACCATTCTTGGCAGCGGTTGACGCCTGGCACGTTTTGCCTTTCGGTGTTTGGAATATCTTTTCTACTTCTGACTTAGACACATAATCCTTCGGCGAGAAATGCGACTCTGGAGTTGTGTCTTGAGGTGTTGTCGCGTGTTCAAGGTCGGATGGGAACCAATAAGCTTGCGATGACCGACGGTTCGAAATGCCCACGCCGTCGCCGATTACTGCTGGTTTCGTGTTCTCCGTTTGCTTTAGCTCCGACTTTATGACACCCCTATCACTAGCTCTGGCATGTGGTGTTATCTTATTCTTCCGGTCAGAATCGTCAGAGTCATCGTCTTCAAGGATGAAACCCGAAACCCGAGTGCCCCCCAAAGCATTTATAGCTACTTCATCTTCGTCGATAGCGGAGTCATGCGTGCTGAATGAATCTGTCTCTGGGAAAAAACCGGTTTGGTAGGAGCGGCTTTCCAACTTGGCTGCGACCCTGAGATTTCCGATATGGTTGTCGCTTGGAGATGACGGAATCCTCAAGGGAGACGAAGGGGCTGGGAAATACATAGCTGGGCAGTCCAGGGAAGAGCTGCCACGAGCTGGGTCGCCCTGTTCGACAAAGAGGCTCCCGTGACTATTCTGGGTTCGAATATCGATATCATTGCTGGGTCTAGCCTCCAAACGAGACATGTCGCGGGATTTTCTCAGACGACTCGAAGCCGCAGGCTGGGGTACTGGCACATATTCGGTCGACGGCGAGGGTCTTTCGTCTGAATGAGGTTTCCAAGTGAGATTTGCGTGCTGATTGTGATCGACTGGCAATGAGAAAGACGAAGGTGGTTGAGTCGGGCTACAAGAAGTCTTGGTAGAGTCTCTGGAGGAACTAATCTTGAAGTTCTGCTGATAGATTACCGAAGCAATGCCGGGTGCTCGAGGTGGTGACTCGGCGGCTGCCCAGGAATTCGTCGGTTGGTAGCGGTCGTAAGTGCCGCACAAGCTGTAGCTGTCATCATCATATACGCCGATAGTTTGACTATGGGTAGCATATGATCTTCGGGGAGTAGAGTTCGAAGGGCGGAGGGGCGGTAGCGATGTGATGGCCGAGTCCAGGTGGTGTTGCGAAGTCTCTTGAGATGACTCGTGATCGGACGCCAGGTTAGTCGGCACAGAGCCGTGGCGAGGGCGGTTTTCTGTCATAATGATGAACCGCCCGTCTCACCAAACATTCCAACGTCGTTACTTGCTTCGACAAAACTCTGCAAAGGGCAACAATGCCGAAGAAGTAAAGAAAAAGACAACAGTCCAGGAAGGGACAAAAAATGAGCGTTGAAGAATAATTCTCCAAAACCCGCGCAAGTAAAAATGGGATGAAGCAAGATGTTTGTCGAGTGATAGAGGATGAAGGAGGGTGGTGATGTGGGCGGTGGAGCTTCGGTGGAAAACAAATCGGCTAGGAACGAGAACCACATATGAAGATAAACAGGAGAGCTTGAATACAGGGAGTGGTTTAATTCAGATCTCGGTGGCCACCTCAGTAGGTCCTAGGTAGGTCGTTCGGTAGTGCCTACCTCTTCACGTCCAAAGTCCAGATGGAAGGAACAATCTGTCTTGAGACGGAAGGAACAATGGGCTAGGAGTATGAGGGAGGATAATAAAAATGAGCAGCCGAATCACAGAAAAAGTTCTGAAAATCAGCAGAAGGGAAATAACAAGGGTCTCGCATCGCTAATGGGATTGCAAGTTATATATTGGGCGGGTAGGCGCAGCGGAGCAGCTGAAGGCCGGTCGCCTGGCTCTCGTGTAAGTCATGATACAATGCTACGCAGAACTGAGCATAACCCGCCTAGAGAGGCTCCACAGGAGACAATGATGCTGAAGATCCAAGTCACCAATTACCTAGGTAGAGAAGTCAATAACTATTGCCCATCACTTGTTGTGCGACCAAGAGAGTGTCCGATAAAGGGTATGTCCATTACTCTAAGCTGCCTTAGGTGTCTATATTTCTCAGCTCCTTGGAGCCTAATACTACTACTTATATTGGTACGGTGCCGTAGCACATGAATTCGTTCGCTATTCCGATCATTACTCCCAAAAACGCCAGGGCCATGCAGGCTCTCTCCCAAACAAGGATAATAGACACTCAATATTGATATAACAAGCATCATGCAAAGGCGGGGTTGAATACAAGGCACAACCCCCCCCCCCCTTCTTTACCCGAGAGACGTTGCTTCATTGCTCCGTTCAGTCCGCGCCTCGTCACTGTCTGACCCAAAGGGTCTGACCAGTCGTGAAATATTCTCGCGTTGTAAGTCTCCAACTTTGATTGCAAAGGCATGTATTTTATCGCAAGCGCATCTTGGCATCCTGGACACCGCGAGCTATAACATCCTCGAGCTTCCAGCGAGGGGGCTTGTAGGTGCCTTCCAAGCCGTTGGCCTTGCGCCAGTCCTTTTCGTTTTCAGGAGTGACGCCTTCGGGAAGAGGCTCTTGGCCGCCTGCAATGCCGGTGGAAAATCTGATTTGGAGCTTATCGGCAACCTCGTCAACCGCCGTGAGAAGTCTGTCAAGATCGTCCTTGTTGTGGGCCGAAGAGACGCAGAACCGGACACGCGAGCTGATGAGCGGCGTTGCGGGGTAGCCGACAATGACGACAGAAATCTTACGTTTAAGCATCTCGTGACTGAAGGCGGGCATCTTGCCAGGGTTGTAGAGCATGACGGGGATAATGGGAGAGTCGTCGTGGCCGTAGACGATGAGGCCCAGACGCTTGAGACCGAGGCGGAGGTAGCGGGAGTTGAAGGCAATACGTTCCAGGCGCTCCGCACCCTGGCCGGGGCAGAGCTCACCGGTGATCAGGCGGAGGGAGGCCAGAATCTGCATAAGGACGGAAGGCGCAGGCGACTCGCCCAAGATGGTTGCGGCGTTGGAGCTGCGCAACTTGTCGATGATGCTCTTCTCGGCAGCAACGTAGCCACCGTTGGCGCCAAAGGACTTGGTGAGTGTACCCATGAGAATATCAACGCGGCTGGGGTCGATGCCAAAGTAGTCGCAAACTCCACGGCCGCGGGGACCAACGGCGCCAATGGAATGGGCCTCATCAATGAAAAGATAGAATTTGTACTTGTCCTTGAGAGCCATGATACCAGGCAGGTCGCACATGGTTCCCTCCATGGAATACAAGCCCTCGACGGCGACAAGAATCTTCTTCCATGGGCGATGGGTGCGAGGCTGACCCTGAGAGATGGCCTCACGGAGCTTGCGCTCGAGATCGACAACGTCATTGTGCTTGAAGGAGGAAATGACGGCACCAGAGAGACGAGCACCAACTCTGATGGAGGCGTGGTTCAATTCGTCGGAGAGAATGAGGCAGCCCTTGGACACAAGTGCAGGGAAAGAGCTGGCGTTCGTAACGAAACCCATTGAGAAGACCATGGAGGCAGGCTTGCCGACGAATGATGCGATCTCCTTCTCGACCTCGAGAGCCAAGTCCGAAGTACCAACATCAGCACGAGGGCTGCAGGTGCTGAGGGAGTATTTCTTGACGCATTCCTCGACGGCGTCGGCGCAAGGGCCCTCGGATTGGGCAAAGCCAAGGTAGTTGTAGGAGCTCATGTTCAGGGTCTCGGTATGGGTGCCGGTGTAATTGTAGGTACGGTTGTAATCCCTGGACTCGCGATCCATGAGGGTTATGTAGCGACCAGGAACGCCAGTAATGGGGCGCGCGAAGCAGTCGTCAATGCGCATCTTCAGACGACGGACATAGAAATTGTCAAAGTCCTCGTTCAAGGGGGCATATCCATTCTGGGGCTTGAGGGCCTGGTAATGCTTCTTGTCGCCGAAGCGCTTGCCAAAGAAGTCGCGGGCATGGCCGAACAGAATGAGAATCAGATAGCTGATGTAGGTGGTGAGGACGTAGTAGTAGGGCGGCTCATCAATGATGGGCGGGTCGAGCGGCTTGCCGTCGTTGGACTTGCTCACGTATCGGTGACTAGGGTGAAGGAGAGGACCGAATTGAGCATCGAAGCGTCTCTTCTTCTCCGTCTCTACCATGGAGGGAGGGGAAAAGAGAGTAGTAGGCGGTTCGTTGGTATCCGGCTCGCCAGCGGTGGCGGTTGAGAGGGAAATGGTGGGGAGCGAGATGGTGGAGGGAGTGATTTGGGTCGAAGAAATATTTTGCTGCTGCATGGCCAAGAGGGCTTGCTGGGCTGTCTGGTGGTCCTTGTCCTTGGCGCCCTTGGGAGAGGTGAAGAAGTTGGCGATGCGGTTGCCGGAACGAGAGGGTCTCCTTTCTTTCTCGGTAAGCGGCATGGCGGAAGGGTGAGAGGTCGAGAAGGGATTCGCAATTCTACGGGGCATTGCTGAAATGCGATACAACCGACTGCGGACGGACGGGTGATTGGGATGGAAAAGGGGGCGTCGAGGTCTGCAGGGCGACCAGGCGAGCGTTAGATCAAGGTATTTGACGAAGACGATGCAATGCTCTCAATGATGAAGTCGAGGATGGAGGGTGCGCTGTAGAGGAAGAGAAACAGTCGGTCAGCAAAGGCTGCGTGCATCTGAAGGGTTGGCCAGATGTGATGGAAGAAGTAGAAAAGAGTTGGAGGTTTGAGAAATAGGGAAATTGTCGGTCAGGATGTCAGTGGCGCACTCGCGGTCGCAGAGGGAGAGCCGGCGGCCACTAAAAAATAGACCCGCTAGGATTACTGGGAGCCATGGCACTCGTCCGACCTCCTTGAAAGGTTTGATGGAAGCTCAAACGAGACAAGAAAGGAAGCGCTAAATGCACGCTTGAGGGGCCACTAAGGCCATCGATGTGCCGGATCGACGAATTGGGTTGGATTGGAGGCGGGTGATGATAAACAACGGTCAACACTTACCAGGAAGCGCCGTTACCAGCTACTCAGATGATAGATAGCCGGAAGTCGGAGGTTGGAGAGGATCCAATATGTGCACGAAGACCCAGCACACCACCTGATCTCTGATGGCCCTTTCTGCTTTGCAACTGGGTTGAGTTGCGAATTGAAAGAAGAACGGGTGAGGGTGTCAAAGAGAGAGAGAGAGAGATAGAGAGAGTGTGTGTGCGTGTGTAGAGAAAGCTATGAGAGGAAGGGAGGGAGAGAGAGAGGATGGATTATCGATGCCTGGTCGTCGTGCGATGGGATTGGACCGTGATTTTAGGTAAATTGGGTGCGGGTGGACTTTTTTTTCTTTTCTTCGGGAGCCTTGTCGGCTGGAAGTAACCTTTCGGCGAAAGTGGGCGACGAGGTACGCGCAGAACTCAGGAGAGTCTTGTTTCTGTGGTGGCCTGTGCCTTTTGTTCGACAGATGCCTGTGATTGGCCCACCACCGGACAGTTCGGGAAGTCGCGTGGCAAGGCGAGGCCACAATAGAGCACAAGTGACGAGCAAGTACTAGGTATTTAGGTAGGCAAGTCAAGTAAACGGACGAGGAATAGTAGCAGCGAGTCGATATTGAAGTAGGTGTATCCACGACTTGGTCCTACGTCACGCCGATGGTTGTCGTTGGTTATTTGTCTTATTGACCTTGGAGGGAGAAACAAGCCAACAAGGAAGGTCCTCAAAAGTGAGATCGAGATACACGCACGCACCCACACACCTGAAAGTATCAGCGTGGTGTGTGAGAGTATGAGTGTGTGTGTGTGGGTGGGGGGGGTGGGGGGGGGGGAGAGTAGGTGCTATGGGGAGAGACTTCTTGTCCTCTGCGTATTTCAATCTCTTGGTCCCGAGGGAGACTGACAGTTCGTCAATTTCGTAGGAAAGGTGATGTCGGGAAGACGAACGACAAAGAAGGGGGAGGCGTCGAGCAGAAGAGTTGAAATGGACAACGGACAAGTCGGGAACAAAGACGATCCCCACCCCCGAACAAGGCGGAAAGTGAAGGGGTAAAACAACACATTGTGTTAATGCTGAGGGTATCCATATTGAGCGGCAAAATTACCGGGCTTACGGAGTACGTCACGGCCTTTTTCTTTCCTCCCGCAATGGCCTGAGTATTTGCTGTGCCATCAGGGCTCCAATGGATTGCAATGCACTCTCTCTCTCTCTCTCTTTTTTTTTTTTTTGCCATGATGATAAACGGGGCCTTTTGCTGTCGTGCAAGTGGCTCCCCCCTCTCCCTGTCAGCGTATCATTCAACTTTGAAGATCGGCATCGACACGACTTCTTCCTGCAACCCCTGCTCCCCGACAGGTCCGGGCTCAACGCTGTTTGTCTTTGCACGGTTGCCTCCCCGCTGGGTTGGTTTGCCTTGCCTCTCGTTTCTCGCCCTGGCTACGGAGTACAATGAGTGCAACGACACATCGGTGGTGTATCCGTACCTGATGGTAAAAACTACTGCCCAGCCCACCCAGCGAGACTGGCAACTCAACTCCGTCATCCCCCCTGATAGTCCAACACCTGATTCTCGCTCAAAGTTCATGGCCCTCGGTGGACTCTTCGTCAAGCAAGACAACATCAACCCTGTCGTCGAGCCCATCAAATAGTGTAGCGAACTACACTCCAATCCACTCTAACCCAGTCGAAGTGATTTCGGCTATTGGGCATATCCCGCTTGGCCCCTGCGCCTTACTGCTCTCGGGGCTCGTCCATTCATCCATTGGGAAGTCGATCATGCCCATTGATCACGCGCGAGAAAAGGGGGAGAGGAGGAGGATCGAAGCCTAAGAGGCTGCCCGAACGACGCGGTCGAAACGGACGCACCGGATTCTGTTGCTGACTGATAATGGGACATTGCTGTCACTGCACTCCCAGCTCACCCGCTCCCGGATGCACTGGCAATGGCAATGGCGCAATAGCCCAATGACATTGGCTGCTGGCTGATTTCACTATTCCGTACAGCTGCAATGCATCGCAACCTCGCCATCCTTCCGTAATGCAGCCTTTGCAGACACCCAGAGGCTCTCTCTTCGTCCAGGGTATGGTGTGCATGACGGGAAGAGCTGGCTGGGCTAGGAGCTAAAAGCTGCCAGCCCAGTGTCGTCGTTCCAGCTCCCGCCGGCCATCGCCGTCAACCACCCTCGCCATTCGACGGCCCGCTCTTGCTTAGCCTTAACGATGCTCTTTGGCCGCCCTGTCCATGGTTCCAAGCTGGGCTGTCAATCAGCCTTGCTTGGCCAACAAAGCACAACCCCATGGAACCCCCCTGCTCGTCTGCCCATCGACAGCCCTCTCCTCAAATCGAGGCCGTCCGATGGCGGTGCTGAGAGGGGTTGCAAATGACGTTACCGCCTAAACAATCATGTTGGACGTGTCTTTTCGGCAATGCGTTCAACACAATGCAGCTTGTCAAGTACTTGACGACCCATATCTGCCCAACTCAATGCCGTTGGCCATGTCCGTCAGCGATTGCTTGGGGCATAACGAAGCATCGATGGCCCTGCAAGCCGGACTCACCGACAGCGCATCAGCAGAGCTGATGCCGACCAATTGCGGCACACTCAAATGTGCATGCGAATTCCCTCGGCGCGCGAGCCCCCCCATCAGCCACGAGCCAGAGTGCACAGCGCACGCGACTTTGACGATGGGGGCAAGACGTTGCGAAGGTGGAAAGGCAAAGCAAACGACGCGCTCGGTTGATCGGCTGATGAAATGTCGAACGAACCGGGACGCACCGTCTGTTAACCGTTCACTTGGATATTATACCGTTGCATAAAGCCGAGTTGGAGGTGCGTCCAGTCCATAGCGAGTCAACAACTACCTAGACGCTGCTTCTTTGTTCCCATGTTTCTTCCTTTAGGCGGCCCCCTTCATCTTTCTCGGGTATGTACGACCCACGTCGCATCGGCTACTCGACCGAGGCGCTATTCGGCTGCGTTAGTTAACAATCTCGATCCCCGGATGGCCGAATACCCTGCCGCGGCCCCCGCCAGATGATGGTGATGATGATGATGCTTACTCGGGACCTTCGGCGCAGCCAATGACAAAAGTCGCGCACAATCTCGGGTCCCTGTGCTGGATTACTCCTTCAACGTGGATTTGCAGAAGAGGTCTGAAGAGCGTGGTGAATTACGACCCGTTAGCTTTGCAGGCTTCTCCCCAGCATAGCGTCCAATTCTGAGACGGTATCCTGTCGCTTGGATGTCGTTATCGACACCAAGTGTTGCTATCCGTCCGTACCTTGATCGAGTCCAGTGAGCTGGATCGGGGGGGCCGCATGGGTGCACCAGCCACAGCGCGGAATGGGCAAGTCTTCAACGTCCAATGCCATAAACGCTTCGGTCCAGTGTCTCAAGCCTTTGAGGGTCTTAGGTAAGGTGTGCCTTGCATGGCCTCACATGCCTTGTGGAGCTGGAATGTGGGGAGAGCTGCGCGCAGGTACGCATTTACACCGTCCGGTAGGTACCTCGTGAAGAAGGAGGGCACAGCACACCACGGTCCCCCGATCACAACAGAGCGTCGATGACTCTTTTGTCTGAGATGCTGAGAGGGTCGTCAAAGTCTCCATTGACGTGAAAGAGAAAGAGCAGGTTCACGCAGGTGCTCTGGTTCGAACGGGCAACCGTCGAGATCCAGTTCGAAACGGAAATATACCAAGTTACATACCTACCTACCTACCTTATCTACTAGGTACCTAGGTAGATACCAGTTTAGCTGCACTCTCCAGAAGCATTGACTACTGAGCTTGCTTATGCTCACTACCTAATAGCTGCTGCAGCAGCGTACCTAGGTACTTGGTGCCAATTCCTCCCCCACCCCCGGACTCCGGCTCTTTTATGTACCTGCCTACCTTAGGTAGGTAGGTAGGTACATACAGCTGCTTTCTCAACCCTTTACCCCCCTTCATTTTGTCTTTCTTTTCGGAATGTACCCTCGGAATCGACCCCTCGGATTGCAGCGGCCCAACTTCCCTCCCTCCACTCCGGCCGAGATCTCAACTCAAGAAGTATCGCATACAACAATTTTGAAAACATTTCCGACCCCTATCTCCTCGTAGCCGTGATATCAACTGCTCAGGCTTCGCGAATCTGGAGCGTCATTCGCTCTTTTTTTCTTTTTTCTCTTTCTCTCCCACTGTCACTCGCGCACCGTCCCATCCACTCCCCCTCTCAATCCGTCCAATTTTCGCCCAGCATGACTATCACCGGTGTCACGCGCAATGAGCTCTGGCGGCATCCGGACCCCACCGCGACTCCAATGTGGGCATTCCTTCTCCGGGTGAACTCCAAGTACGGCCTCAAACTGGCAGACTACCCCGGTCTGTACAAGTGGTCCATCGAGAACGTGGCAGAGTTTTGGGAGGAGGTCTGGCACTTTGTCGGCATCACAGCCTCCAAGCCCTTCGACAAGGTACGCTAGCCAATGCCATTCGTCATATCCCAAACTCAACCCAACCCTCATCATGTCTTGCTTCGCTCTGCTTGGCGCGCCTTGACTCCCTGGATCAAGGCGGAGTGCGGAGAAGAAAACGAGGTTGTGTGGCATCAGTGTGAGAGAGACCGAATCAAACTCTACGCGAGTGCCAGAGACGTCCCCAATAAGATGCAGCGACCAAATCGTCAATACCATCCTCACCAGTCTTGAACCCTCGCTATAACCTCTTTCGAGAACCTTGGTGTTGGCGTTGGGTGAGGCGGATGGCTATGCGGCCATGGCACAGCTTTGCATGATTATCGCCCTCAAAGGTCGAGTCATGCAATGAGCCATCCATTGGCTCGTAGGAACGCTATTGCCCCAAACTAAATAACCTCCAAAAGCGGCGCCCGTACCGCCTACCATGATATTTCATCCCCCCGCGGACCAGTAGCTGACCCGGCCTGGCTACCTCTAGGTCCTGCCGCTCAATGCGCCCATGTACCCGCGTCCCGACTTTTTCGAGGGCTCCCGTCTCAATTTCGCCGAGAATCTACTCTTCCCCGCGAACGCCGCCGTCGACCCCACAGCCGTCGCGACTATCACCACGACCGAACTCGGCCTTCCCGTCTCCACAACATGGGCCGAGCTCCGTGATGCCGTCCGCCGCTGCTCTGCCGGTCTCCGAGCCCGCGGTGTCCGGTCTGGCGATATCGTTGCGGGCTTCGTGTCTAATCATGTACAGGCTGTCGTTGCCTCCCTCGCTGCTGCTTCTATCGGGGCCATTTGGACCGGCATCAGCCCCGACAACGGCATCAGCGCCGTGCTTGACCGTCTAGCTCAGATTGGACCCAAGGTTCTCTTTGCCGACAACGGCACCGTGTACAACGGCAAGGAGTGGAGCAGCACTGAAAAGACGGAGGAGATCGTCAGGGTTCTGATGCAAAACGGTCTCGAGCTTGTTGTTGTCATCAACAATGTTGGTTGTGATCTTGGTATGGATGGTCTGACGGCCACGGGAGTTGTTGCAGAGGAATACGACTCCTTTTTGCAAAGGTATGGGAACTCCCTCCCGCATTCCCTCCCCTTGTTCTTTCTGCTGACCGACAAGAAGCGCCCCTGACGTGCCCCTAAAGTTCGAGCAGCTCCCCCCCTCACACCCCCTCTATATCCTCTACTCCAGCGGCACGACGGGCCTGCCCAAGGCCATTGTGCACACGGCCCTGGGTACTCTCATCCAGCACAAGAAGGAACACGCCTTGCACAGCTCCCTTGACTCGTCCTCGGTATTGCTCTACTTTACGACTACCTCGTGGATGATGTGGCACTGGTCGCTCTCTGCTCTTGCCGTCGGCGCCACTATCGTCCTTTACTCCGGCTCTCCCTTCAAGCCCCATGGCCATCTGTCACTCCCACGGCTCCTCTCCGACCTCCGTGTGACCCACTTCGGCACATCCGCCGCCTACCTCATTACCCTCGAGGCAAACGCCGTGTACCCCGTCAATGAGCCCGGTATCGACCTCTCAGCCCTCGAGGCGATCTACTCCACCGCCAGTCCCCTCCCGCCTTCCACCTTCTCTTTTGTCTACAAGGCCTTCCCGTCCAAGGTCAACCTCGCCTCCATTACGGGCGGAACCGACATAATCTCCCTCTTTGGCGCCCCGTGCCCTCTCCTTCCCGTCCGTGTTGGCGAAATCCAATGTGCCGGTCTTGGAATGGCCATTCACGCTGTCGACTCCCTTTCAGGTGAACCCCTCACTGACCCATCCCACCCGGGCGATCTCGTCTGCACGGCTCCCTTCCCCTGTCAACCTCTGACCTTCTTCGGCACCGGAGGCGACGAAAAGTACAAGGCGGCCTACTTCGAACGCTTCTCCAACATCTGCGGCGCCAAGGGCGCAGTGTGGCACCACGGGGACTTTGTGAAGATCCCAAACCCAGCGACAGGGTCGCTCGTCATGCTCGGCCGATCTGACGGTGTCTTGAAGCCCGCTGGTGTGCGTTTTGGCAGCGCCGAGATCTACAATGTTCTCGCGCATTTCTTCGCTTCCGAGGTAGAGGATGCCGTCTGCGTAGGTCGAAGACGCGCCACGGACGTCGACGAGACAGTATGTCTCTTCGTCGTGTCCGCCGCGGGACGTCAATTCGATGATGAGCTCCGGGCAAAGATCAGGAGTGTTATTAAGAGGGAGCTGAGCCCGAGGCACGTTCCTGGTGTTATTGAGGAGGCAGGTGGCGGCATCCCGAAGACGGGCAACGGGAAGAAGTAAGTCTCATAGACGTTTCCTTGTCTTAATGGGAGTAGTGCTACTGAAGTCGAATTGAGAGCTGACAACTGATACAGGATCGAGGTGGCGGTCAAGCAGATCCTCTCCGGCATGGACATCAAGACAAACGCGAGCGTCGCTAACCCCGAGGCTTTGGAGTGGTTTCGCACGTGGGCTGCGTCGCATTAGATCTCTTCTTCCTTTTCTTTTTGTGAGATGCCTGTGTGCGAGGGATGTTTCCCCTCGCCGCTTGGCCCTGGTTTTGCTACGCCTCGGCAGGTCAGGCTAAGTTATGCATACAGTACTAGGTCATTAGTATTTGGACAGCAATAAGGGTAACATAATGCCTGCCTCATATAACTCAGGGCTAATCAAACCGGTTGTTATGACATTTTGGTGTAAATTCGTTGTACATGTGGACTGCATGGAGGAATCCTAGCTGGTTGGTTGGTCCCCGTTATTGCCGTCAAAAGACTGACGATCCAGTGCTGTAGTAAACGGGAGGGGTCGAGAGGGCAAAAGGTTGGCGGAATGTGATTTGCTTTGCTCGGTCGAACTCGGCTGGTCGTTGGTTCTAAAGACGGAAACGGAGTGGATGTTCGGTGTTGGTTGTGTTTCATTCGTATGTAAATCATCAGTGTTGGTGGTCTCTTGTGCGTGACCACCCCTCCCAATCAGGAAAGTTGGCCAGCAGCGTATTGGTTTCCTTCCAGGTCCGGATCAACGTGCTCGCATTGGAGGAGATACCAGTTACTGGCCACCAGGGGGGGGGGGGATCTCCAGTTGTGTATACATTAGCGTGGGGGTTTTTTGCGAGGGGTGTGTGAATACGTACGATGGAGAAACCCCTCACGCCTCGCTCGCGTGCTCGCCCATCTTCGACAAACCAATCCCGACCAACGGCCGCCCGGAGCAGCGGGCCACTTCTGTCTACCTGGTGCGCCCACACGCCCTCGGGACGGACCGGCTAGGCTGCAGCTGCAGGTCTGACAAGGAGGAGGACAAGAAGAAGGAGGAGGAAGGGACGGGGTACATTGGATCTTGCACGTTTCTGTCATCTTATCGTTACGAGCAGCCCTCCTACGGCGGGATCACTCAGGGCCACAGGGTGTGCAATGGAATGGTTTTGGAATAGAAGCCATCACTGCTTGGGATTTTGCGGGCTACACAAAATCGAAAACAAGCAATTAGAAGTCACGATCCAAATTGCCGTCATATATAATGGAGGAAACAATACATACCTTGAGGAACTGAATACATCGCGGATCACATGTGGCCATCACCCTAACTGGCAAAATCAACAAACACACAGCTTGTCACGAGCTATCGCTGGTTGCAAGGCGCAGCGATTTGAAGTGATAAGTCATATTGAATAACAGCCGTGATCATTCTAGGATCAGGCGCATGCCTTAAAGTAGGTAGTAACATACCCAATAACGCCTATTATGCAGTCGTCCACATCAGTTGGGGACATTTCAAGTAACCCTTGTTTCTTTTTGTCTTATTCTTCCCATGCCTTCCACCTTCTTTTTTGCTCTTTCGCACCTCCCATGCGTGTATAGTCCTCAAAAGAATGACACTGGCCAAGTATCCAGAGCCCAGTAATGCATTTAAAAAAAAAGACACAATTCTAAAGCGCACCGGTCATGAAGCACCCAACTATCTAGTTAACGCTTGCCATACGCTTGGCCATGCTGAGAAGGGGAATTAGCCAAGTGGTCCATATATGGGAGTGAATGGGAGTAAACCTACAAGTCATAGAATGCAAATTGGCTAGGCTGGCTACCAAACTGGTAGACAAATCGCGAGGCGAGGTAGCTGCCAAAGATGGCGCGCAAGTACGAGTCAGGAACACGCTGAATGATGGTGTCGAGGCCAATCTTCTCCAGAAGCAGGTTGGGAAGGGCATCTTGGAGAACTGAGCGACGTATCTTCTCGTTCTTCCAGAGGTCGGAGTGTTGAAGCTCCTCGTCCAGGGTGGTGATGGCGTTGGAAAGGTTGTCAGAAAGAACACTGCGGGGGAGTCCAGTCTGTTCGTGCTCACGCCAGATGGCCTCGAATTCGAGAAGAGCGTTCTCTTGGATCTTTGCCTGGACGGACTTGACGTAATCCTGGTAGAACTGGGGAGCTTGGCCTCTGGCGTCGTGGCACATGTGCTTGACAAAGTTCTCGTCGTCGAACGAGAGCGAGGCAAGAACCTCCAGAGATGAAGACGTCACGCCACCCTTGTTGGCGCTGGCGTCCTTGTACAGGATACAGCCGGCGGCCTCCAGGCGGAGCTTGGCGTCCTGGGTGATGAAGAGGTTGGCGCCCTCAACCAGGTAAGGGATGGTTGACTTGCCGTCCTTGATGATCTTATTAACAGAAATCAGGTCAATCGACTCAGGGCGACCACCGCAAGGAACGAAGCAGTCGGTCAGACCAGTGTCGCGCAAATGGTAGGTGTTGCGGAACGACGTGCCGTTAGAGATAAACTCGCCGGTAGGCAGAGTGACGTTGTTGTCATCAACCAGAACGCGGTAGCCATCCTTGGACAGCTTGGCCATGTCAAAGTTGGCAATCATGGACCGCGACTTGGCAAGACGGAGAAGCTCCTCCTTGTCAAGGCCGTTGGGGTCAACTAGAACACCGGATCCGTCAACAATGGAAGTGTACTTCTCGTTGCTGAGTAGGATCTCGTTGCTGCCCAGGTCGCCGTCAGGGCCACCGGTCTGCATCTTCTTGACGGTGGAAGGGTCGAGGTTGAGCTTCCTGTAGATGCCCTTGACATACTCGCGAACGGACAGAGTAGTCATGCCGTACGTGTCGTGGGGGATACCACCGAGCTTGGGCGACTTGCCGGTGAAGAAAGACTTCCACCAAGGTGCTCCACGGGCGCGAGCGTGCTCGGTCGCCCAGTCGACAAGGTCCGCGGTATTCTCATCGGGTCCCATGAAGATGATTTCCTCCTTGCCGTACAGGTCCACAAGCGGGTTCTTGATACCGGGAGTCTGGGCAGGGAGGAGGAGGTCGAGAATACTGTCAATGTACTTTTCAAAGGCCTCCTTGGCGCGGTCCTGCATCTTGGGGTCAAGGAGAATAACACCCTTGGAGCCACCTTCGGGAATGTCCTTATTCTTGCGCTGCTGAGTGCTTGCAAGACCGTAGTTCTCGTCGAAGAGGTTGCGCGCGTTAATGCCGTACGCCTCCTTGCTGCGAGACTTAACGATACGGATACCGCCGCGAGCAATATCCTTAAATCGAAGGTGAAAGCCGCGCGACTCGGCGCCAATGACGAGAAACATGCCATAGAGGCGCTTGGGATACTCAATCTCGGGCAAGAAAGAGGGGTCCAGGCGGAAACTAAGGGCAACCTTGGTGGGAGTAAAGTAATTCGTCTTGAGGATCGCGTTGTTGAAGACACGGAAGGCGGTCATGACCATCTCCTCGTGCTCGTTAGACACGTCACGAGTGATACGCTCCTTGAGCTTGGCATCGGACAAAACCTCGATGGCAGGGGTGGGAGCAATGAAGTGGCGATCGAAGTCGGGTCCGACGACAAGGTGCACCGAGGCGAAGGAGGCATAAAGGGCGCGAACCAAGCCGGGGTATGACTGGATAATCTCCAAGATATAGTCGGGGGTGAAGGTCTCCGTCCTCAGACGGCGCTTCAGCTTGGACAGGAGCGCCGTGTGGGCCTGGTTCTTGGGGTCAAGGATTTCGGACAAGGAGACATATTCGGAACCGAGACGGTTCAGGAAGTGCTGAATGAAGACCCAGACGCAGTGGCCGTAGACGGTCTCCTGAAGGCTGAGCTCGCCGGAGGTGAAGAGCGAGTGCAGCTTGTTCTGGGGCAAGCAGTAAAGGAGTGAGATCTCCTTGGTGATCTGATGGATCGACTGGTCCAACAAGGGGAAGTTGCCCTCGATGTTCATGGCGGGGCGGAGGTAGATACTCATGACTGTGATGCCGTTGGCAAATTGCTCCACGTACTTCCTGGAGCTGGTGACACCGTAGTAGTGATACAGGTCACTGAGGGCAGAGAACAAGCCGCGAGCAGTGCGCGAGCGGAAGGCGATAACCAAGCGCTTCTCAGCAGAGCCCTCGATATCAAATACCTCGATGACGGGGCCAGTTCTACTGACCGCGAGCTCGATGATCTCCTGGTAGATCTGCTTGGTGTTGCTGGTGGCCTTCTGGAGGAAACCATTATCGGCAATAACCTCCAAACGGGTCTCGTTGGGGTCCGTCGTCTCAGGGCTCTGCTTGAAGAGACACTGGTAGACGAAGTAGCAGCGCAGTGTCGCCTTGGAAGTAGGCGATGCCCCCAAGACGCCGGGAGAGCGGAAGGTCTCAACACGGAACTTAGACTTGCCCGTGTGATCGAGATACTTGGCCTCGAGGCGCTGTTCGTAACGCGGTCCAGCTGTGGAGGTCCTGCCGGGCTCGCTCGTGTCGATGTAGATGGCATGATCATGGGCCTCCATATCGAGGCGGATCTCCTCGCGCTTGTCCTCGCGGGCGAATGCAGCCACCTTGGCGGCGTACAGGGAGGTAATTTGGCTGGCAATGACCTCGGGAACTTCGATCTCGAAGTAGACGTCGTCAATGCCGAGCTCGTTGTAAAACCAAGCAACTTGCTCCTCGATGAGTGCATCGGGGATCCAGCCGTTGTTCTTAATGAGCTCCTTGACTAGATGACGCGTGTTAGTGACATCCAGTGACCTCACTGGTTGGAAAACTCACCCTGCTCCATCTGCTCCTGCTTGCCACCGAATTCCGGCGCAATGTAGCCGACCGTCGCTGACCTCAGGACTCTGTGTCCGTTGCCATTGCTACGGGCAGCCATGGGAACACTGAAATGTGTGGGCTGGGGAGAGGGGCCGCGGCTGCTCTCTGCTGAGTCGGCTTGAACCTGGCCCAGCATCTTGTTACGAGGGGGTGCGGCGGTCGCCATGATGTCGGGGATTTCTCCGAGAGGGTCTGGCTCGGAAGAATAACTATCCAGGGGAAGGTCAGTATTGATGGATAGGGCCAACATCGCGGCGGGTGACATGTCCACAAGAGGTGCAAGAAGAGAAAATGAGAAACGTCTGTGCGGATGCTGTGAAGGCGAAGAGCAGAGGGAAGAAGATGGGCGTTCATGGCGGGTGACCGAATGGTCTAAGTAGGCAGCCCGGCATAACGAAACATGGCAGCAACGAGAGTTG